CTCTGGGCAACCTGTTCTGATGGCAGCTGTGCTGGGGCTCAGCCTAGAAGCAGTCCCTACATCACGACAACGTCTGGCTCTAATTTCTTAGCTCTTTTTTTGCGAGGTAAAGTGCGCGTTGGCATGTGGGATGCAATGAGCTTTGGCAAGGCAGGCGATACCAGCACGCAAAGACAATTCCTCTGCAAAGAAAAGAGATCAGAAAGCAGCCCCACGTGAGGCAGGGCGAGGGGGAAGGCAGAGGTATTTTATCCTGCGTTCAGGTGCCACATTTCCACAAGGCACTGCCAGAGCAGCTCCTGGAGATGGAGCGACTGAAGCGGTGTCCGGATTGGGCTTGGTTTTTGGCACAGCCCAGAGATGTCAGGGCTGCAGCTAGCTGTGCCAGGGCAGCCGACACAATCGCATCTCTCCCCCTCTCTGGGCACAGCGAGGTCTGAATCCCTCCTCGGAGGCAGCTCTCCCTCCCTCTGCTCCCAGCACCGAGAGCCAAAGGCAGCAGCGAGCTTCCCAGCCCTGACACCTCAGACGTGTGAAGACGGATGGGTTGAACGCAGGCCTAAAATGCTTTGCAGTTTCACGGTAGTTTCACAGCCCTGGCATTACCGAATGATCTTTCAATGTACTTGGAAGCAGGAGGAGAATAACTTGAGATGGATTCTGGCTTTCTTGTGTGTGTGGACGTGCAAACTGGCTCTGCCTACACATCTTGCCTGTGTGGATAGGCACATGGCAAACTGGTGCTCGTGTGGCTCCGTCTGCTCCGTTCCCCTCAAGTTTGGGGCTTTTCAAGGCAGGTCCCTGGCCCTGGGTGCTTCAGATCCCAGCTGCCCTCTGCACTGTCCTCCACTGACCAGGCTAGTGAGGAACTCGAGGATGGGAAACACAAGGCGGTTTTTACATCCGAACAAAAGCAGGAGATTAAGGAAACCAGCTGGAAACCTCCATTTTGCTGATTTTGAAAGCAAAATGTGGGTCACAGATGTGCTTCCACAGACAGAAATTGGCTGGACAAGAAAAGGCATCAGCAATGCCCAGACTTTTTGATGATCAGAGGTAGATTTAGCTCCCAGGCACGGAGACAAGAAAGGAAGAGGAGACGAAGTAGGAATAAAAACATAATCAAGAGATTAGGAATGTAGAACTCAACCCACCCGTAAATTTGCCTTAGGGAATGATGAAAAAATGCAGTAATGAAAAATGATGAAACCCACTGCTACTTCTTGCTCTCTTCCCTTCTCTTCCTGTCCGCATTGTTTTACTTTTTGCTGTACAAGACGCAGGAGGCCTCTTATGGAACCTCCCCTTTCCTTCTGTCTCATTTTTGCTTTGCAGAAGTGCTATTTTCTACTTTTCCTTTGCAGCAGGTATAAAAACCATGCTAAAGACAAGCTGAATTTAGAGCCTAAAAGAAGTAAAAGTTGCAGGAAAGTCCACGCTGTTAGGCAGGCATGCACAGGAGAGCAGACAGCGATGTGCTCCTGCCCATCTTTGATAGGAGGGACGTTATTAATCACTCCGTGTTTAGGCTAATAAGAAATATTACATCTATTTTCAGAGAAATTAACGACAGACTAATAAGAACCATGCTGCTAGCTCTTGGAGGTTGTTGATTAGCCTGTGCCTTGGTCTCCCAGGGCACAGAGCAGAAGGCCTGTTGTTTGAGCCATTAAAAAAAAAATCAAGGTAAAGCCCTGGAAGAGCACCGCAGGATCACTGCTGTGCTGGCCAGGGGAGCGAGGCTGGTGACAGAGCAGGGCTGGCTTTGTCTGGCTGCTCTGTCTCGTTGGAGGCCGTCACTGCGGAAGCTGCAGGACGCAGGGGACAGTCACAGTGTCTGGCCCGTGTCCCTTCATTAAATAAAGCAGACGCTAATGCCCCAGGCCAGGGCTGACCTCGGAGCAAAGCCCAAGCAGCGGTTCCTTGAAAATGTTTCTGAAAAGCTCGCAGCATAGCCAGGGGCGTGCGGCACCTGGGGACGAGGGGAGGTGCCTGAGCTGCTCCTGATGCTCCCCTGCTGCTGGCCACCAGCCCGCGGGTCACCCGGCCACCTTCAGGCTATGTGATACATGCCGCGCAGCCATGAGCCCTGGCCCCAGCAGCAAACTTCCCAAACTTCCCTCCTGCCAAAAGTGCCAGGCCCAGCACCAAGAGGAGCCTGAAATAAGAGAGGTGCCGGTACGCCGGCAGCCCAGCTCACCTCCATCACTGGTTTTCAGCCTCTGGAGAACTCCACATTCAGCTTTTTTCTGGGACTTATTTTTCTCAGCCCTAATGAAAACCCGTTTTGTAGTTGCTGGTGTTTCAAAGCCTGTATCAGTGTCAATAAAGAGAAGTCCTTTCCCAAGAGAGAAGAACAAAAAACAGAAATCTGTCTCGTTTTTTTTTTTTTTTTTTTTCTCATGCAGAAGAAAACAACCCCGAAGCACTGCAAGATTAAATGAGAAATGTGCCTCTTTCCACTGGGTGTCCACTGGGCGTGAATAAGTGCCAAGTGAGCTCTCGCTTCCATCGCCATCTGGTGCGAGGCACCAGGGCCTGGAGGTGCAGCGGGATGCCTGGAGGCCCCGCTGCCCGTGGTGGCTGAGCCCCCAGAGGCTCCTGAACGGGATGCGAAGGGCTTTGGTACCTTCAGCACACAAATTGTTGTCCAGCCACAGCAGAACCAGCAGCCTGGAGCAGGAGAGGCCTAGGGTTTTCTCAGCCTGTGGGTAGGAAACGGGAGCGCTCTTCTAGGGAAAGCTCTGGGTCCTCTTCTTCCCGTGACAGATTTGTGGCATTGCCACCCCCTTGAAAGGTGTTTTTTCTTTTTGGGTCCCCAGTTTTGAGAAGTGGGAAATGCTCCAAAAGCCATTTTGCCAGCTTCATGTGGCAGATCTCTGCCTTGGGTGCATCCAAGAGGGTGAACAGCAATGCACCCTGCCACCAGCTCCCTGGGAATGCAGGTCTGCGTGCTCCCATTCTTCATTCACACGGCTGAATCCATCATTTGTCTGCCCTATTATAAAAGATAGCATCGATGTTTAACCAAATAAGAGGCATAGCTTAGTGATGGGACCCGGCAGGGCAGCCTGATGGTTGGACTTGGTGATCTTGAAGGCCTTTTCCAACCTAGATGGTTCCCTGATACAACTGATTGCAGAAGGAGCAGTGCATAAGCCAGCAAGCCTGAATTTCTCCTTCCTTCCATCCTTTCTCCTATTATCTCCTCTCTTTTTGCATTGACTGGCTTGAGAATCCCAGTGCAGCACAAGAGACTTTGTTAGACACCGAAAATAATTGCACTGGGCTGCAACTACGCGTTGATATTGTTGTGAATACCACAGCACAGAGCCTAGAAGCTGCTTGTGGTTTCAGAGCCCTTGCTGATGAATTGCCCAGCATCTGGTCACATTGGGAGGGCTACGCTTGTTATTTTCAACTGCTGTAGTGCACGGAAGGAAAATCAAAATGCTTTCCTCAAGGTAATTGGCTCTAAAACAATTGAAGAATTTTCCACAAGGTTGTAATGCAATTAGGACTGGCATTCTCTACAATTTATCTCTCTAATGGTATGCTTTTGCCATCAGATCCTTATTTTGTGCGAAAAAAAAAAACTGGCAAGAAAAGGCAGATTTTGCTGTTACCGGCAATGCAATATAGATTAAGCAGAGCTGTCCACCCAGTCGTGATTGAAAGTCAGCATAATGTTGGGATCGTCACTCGGCTGTAGTGGTTCGTGGTGTGGAATGGTCGGGTGGGATGCTGTGACACCAGGCACACATCTGCAGAGCTCCCGTTTGGGTTTCAGGCGGTGCCAAGCGATGTGTCATCACCACTCGCGTTCTGCTGCAGCGCCGCAAGAGCAGAAATAATTCTGCGCTCCTGAAGTGCCCTGCCAGCTTGGATGGGAGGAGCTGGTGCAGGCTGGTGACAATCAGGGCCACCGCGCGGAGCAAAATCATCAGCCACCCCAGCGTTTGGGTCCGTGTTTTGATCGACATCCAGGAAAAGTCTAAGCAGAGGTGCCAGACAATCCAAGCAGGCAGCAGCTACCGAAGAGCATGAGTCAGCTGCTGGGCTTGTTGACACGGGACACTGCGAAAGCCAGAAGCATGGACAGAGCATTCCCCTGTCACCACTCTGGGAAACCTCTACTGCTGTGGCTATCAAAGCAGACTGCTGGGGAGTAACTGGGAAAAGGATCACTCTGTGCTTGCTCGTTCCTCATACTTCACCACGATTTACTGAGTACTGTCCAAGACACAGTACAGGGCCACGGGGACTTTTTGCCTGACTGCAACAGCTGCTGGGACTGAAATTATGGCATGAAATGCTTTGTCTCCCTGCCTAGGTAGAGGCGAGCACGTTGGAAGAATTACCATTAGGAATGGGTCTGAGCTGGAACAGGAGGAACACTCAGTGTTTCTTCAGAGCCAGAGTAGCTGTTTATGGGTAAATGTCCTGTTTCTATAATGGGGTGAACCAAAGCCATGGACTCCATCACCATGAAGAAAACCTCTGGCCATGGTCCCTAATGGTATGGATGCCATCGACGGTATTACGAGAATAATGTGCCGCCGCCGTAAATGCAAATACTTCCCCTACCCTTCTGTAGGACTATCAGAAAAACAAACCCGAGAGCTGTACTGCTATACAAAGCAGGGCACCACACCCTCCTGTTATCTGTCAGACAAATGAAGAAGCCATCAGCCACAGACACGGGTTGGTCTGTCTCAGTTGGTTTGTAGAAACCAACCTTGAACAGTTTGGAAGCAGTCTGAGCACCTGGCCTCAGGGTCCTGGACCCCAGACTGGCCAGAGGGGGACAGGAAAGTCCTGCCTGCGCCTTCCTACCTTGCAGCAGCCTGTGACACATCACAGATCCTCGTCTGTAAGCAAAGCCATGATCAGATCCAGTGCTGGGAGGCAGCTAACACCTTTGGGGTCATTTTGGTTAAAATTTTAACAAGTCCAAATGCAGCTGCTTAACACAAAAACGTATCAACGGGGGTACTCACTATTGGGCCGAGTCGTTAAGTTGATATTCCCGGGACCTGTTGAAGCATTCCTGGATCCCGGAGTCTGCCCAGAGTCTCATCATAGCCGACAGCAGCTCTGGAGAGAAGGGCTCTGTGTCCTCCATCCGACTTACGACGTCGCAGACCATCTTGGCATCAGCCTGCAGAGGGAAGAAACGAGAGGTCAGACGGATGCTGAAGGCAGGAGATTTCAGAAACAGCGCACCAGGCCTTCAGGGGCAGGGGGCTGTGTATTCGGGATGGGGCTTCGGGATCCACACCGTATGCTCCAGCAGGAAGGGCAAAAGGAGGATGGAGCAAGATTTCCTTGGAAATCTTGTCCTCCTTTTGCCCTTCTCGTCCTCCTTTAGCCCTTCTTGTCCTCCTTTTGCCCTTCCTGCTGGAGCAGGATCGGGTCCTTGTGCAGCCCACCTCGTGCCAACACATACTGCTCATCCGCAGACAACGGAGTTGGCACTACATATGGGCAGAGCCTCTCGGTAGCAGGAAGAAATCCAGGTATGCACAAATACATCCTACACCTATCGGAGTGCTGCATCCCCTGCAATGATCCCCGTTTTACCAGGTTCATGACCTTGCTGAAGCAGGGACCATCTGCAGCAGAACGGGCAGCAAAAAGGCTCCAAAAACAGTGCATTTCAGCTGCTGGTTTATTGCTTTTTTTTTGAATTCCCGTTCTTTCCTACCAGCCTGTCTCTGTGACGGGGGCTAGCTCCTGTTAACATAACACCTTGGCTGTCTGCGCCGCTTTGTGACTCAGATGGAGAGGAATCTCCTGTGGTTAAGGAGTATGGCAGGGCGGGCAGGGCCAGCTGGTGGTTTTCGGATGGAATCTTTTTTCGGTGAGAAAAATCTGATTCACTGGAACCGCAACTTCTCCTGCAGGATATTGCTCTGACACAGCTCGGGTCTGGAAGATGTCTCAGATTTGGGATGGGAACGTCTAGACAGGCTCGGAACAGCTGAGCGCAGCCCTCCTGTGACGGCCCGCAGGGGCTGGTGCTTCCCCCGTTTGTGAAGCAGGACACCTGAATTCGTGGCCACCTCTGCTCGCGTTGCAGTAAGGAGCCCTCCCACACACCCCCCCTCCCCCCCGGCTCCTGGAAGCCCAGGGGTGCCGGCTAATCCACAGAGGTTTTCTTTCATAGCTTTGTTAATTGAAAAAATTGGCGAAGTCTCACATTTCTGCCAGCTGACACAAAACCAATTATTATTACTATAATTAATTGGCAAAGAGGAGCTCTTATCCTGCATTTGTGCTTACAGCAAGCTGGTGCAGACGACCTCCTTGTTTCATTACCTTTACTCACGTCCCATTTGTATATCCCTGTTGCCATCCCTGCACATCCCCATCCCCAGTTTCCCCCTGGGCTGGATCTCTTTGGGCAGCTGTAGGGTTCCCAAGGGCATCGGGATGGTGTCACCTCCCCAGCCCGCTGGGGAATCAGCCCCCTGTTGTCCAGGCTACCAAAACATGAGCCCGGGATGTCCCCAGTCCTGTGCTCCTGTGTCTCTGCTGTATGAAGAGGAGATGGAAAACAAACCGAGCTGCCCTAGGGACTGTTCCTTCGGTCACTGTGATGATTAGATGTGGGGGAGCACCACGAGAACCTGGTTGCATGGCTAGGAAAGACAAGGTGTATGGCACAGACTGCACGGCCGGGATCAAAACCCGTCTGCAGCCCTCAGTTTAATGAAACTGATGAAAAATCACAGGGCACCGAGCTGCTAGCACTGGAGACGGAAGCTGCTGGAGATTTCAACACTTGAAGAGCTTCAGTTCCCCAGAACATCGGGTCCTTACGGGCTGAAGGCTCAGTACTGTATGGAGACATCATCCCATAAAACTTAATGGGGGGGAGTCTCTACGCTTTGAAGACTTTATGAACATGAAGTCTTTTTTTCACAGAATGCTTAACTTCATTTTGTAGTGCCCAGAAATCCTTCCAGCCCTCCTAACAGCCTCTGCTCATTTTCGAGAAATAGTATTGGTGACTCACGCCTCAAAGCCAAGGCAAACGAAGAACCTTGAAGAGTTCACTTCATTTCAAAAGCTTGTTTTCTGCCCCGGAGGGCTTCATGAGCTCAGTGAATATTCATAAATCATCGGTATGGCTTCCCTGCCCTGCTGCAGCTGTAATTCTCCTCCTTCCCCAGGTTCTAAATAACAGGAGAGCTGCTAAAGGCCAGCGGGCTCGGGGCTGCCATCCAGCTCACGGACACGCTGCTGACTTCAGCTGTGTGCTTAGCAAGCTGCCCAAACTGCTCTGCAGCGAGATGCTTTCGGTTAGGGGTGTAGGAAGCCTCTCTTATGTTACCTGAAATAAGGTAGGGGGGATTTACAGGCCTAAGTCTCAGATCTGCTCATCTCTGATGGCCTCTTGGCCTTGGTGTCCCCTTGCAGGGGACAAGCATCCCCGGCCACAGGTATCACGTCTGCTCGGGCCGGCCGTGGGGCTCAGCTCGCAGGGCAGGGCGTTATTTTGGTTGATGTGAGCAGAGAGAAGCTGCAGCATCCCTGCAGTCCCCAGGAGTCTCTTTTGGGGATGGCCAAGCTCCCTGCAGGAGCTGCAGCTGGGGCAGGAGGGCTCCTTGCTCCTGCTGAACGGGAGCAGCCCTGTCCCAGACTGGGTTTTGTTTTGCCCAGCGAACCATTCCACTCTCGATTTTGTACACCCAGCAAAAGCAGGGGAAAGGAGCAGCTTTAAAAATACTCCTCCCCCCTACCAAGGATAAAACCCCTCTGTCAAGGAGCGTGGGGCCATCCACGAGTCCATGCATTTGTTAGATGCTTTAACGAGCAATTAAGGAGCCAGGAAGAGCAGATCCCCCTTTCTCTTCTCGCTCTCCAGGCTGCATCTCAAGCTGGGAATGACATTAAAATCTGCAGCCCCCTCCGGGCCCAGCAGGTAGGTTTTTAAATACTGCCTGATTGACTTTTCTCCTCCCGCCTCCCCCGGGCCTGGCGCTCCCTCTTCTCCCGAGGTGAGAGGCGCTGAGCCTCCTGCCACGCTTTGCGGCTGTGCCGAAGCGAGCAATTAAATAAAGCAAAACAAACCAGACCAAGCGCCCCCCCCCCGCCTCCCGCCCCGCCTCGCAGCTCCCATCCGACGGGGATTGAGTTAATGAATATCACGGTGGTATTTCAGCTACCTCCGGAGCTAAAAATAAGCAGCCGCCTGCCCCTGGGACCGCTGGAAGGAGGCACAAAATGGTGCGGTGCTTCCTCCTCCAACCCTGCCCCTGCACGTCCCCAGAGCCTCCCCTCTGCGCTCTCGGGGCGGACAGCACTCGCCATCTCGTCTCTGGGGCGATGCTGAGAAGGGTGCTGTGATTTCCAGGCTGGTGGGCACGATTTTCATGCCTCTGAAGAGGTCTCATCCGCTCGGTTGAGTCTTGGGAGGCTGGGAGAAGCTCACTCAGCTCGCTGCCTCGTTAGCTGGGTGTCGCGGCGAGGGCTGGGATGATTTAATGTGGAGCTGACGGGTTTTGGGGTTGGTGCCGGTCTCCTTCAGGCTGGTTCTGATCCGGGAGGAGCGTGACCCCCGGCATCCCGCCGCTACATCAAGTGGCTGGCGTTTTGTCACTGCGGGTCAGACCCTGACCTCAAGCTGATTGTCTTTGGGTTATTCATTACCGAGAGCAGGACTCGTTCAGCTCCGTGTCACTCCCGAGTGCTCAATGTGTCCACCTACAGCAGGAAAATCGCAGCTGGCTGGCTGGGCGTTGGCTGTGAGAAAGAGCCGAGCTCCCAAACCGTGGGACCGCAAATCACACGCTGGGTCTCTAACGATCAAGCTAAAAGACCAAATGGCCCCTTGTTAAAAAGCAAACCTATGCTCCTGGGGAGGAACTGGGGAGGGTTCGGTATGGCCGGGACGAGGTGGGGTTTTACAAGGCAGTGAAGTCCCCGGACAGAGGTGAAGAAGCAGCTTGGTAACTTTCTGGGAAGCCACCGAGACTTTTCTCTTCACCCTGCATCTATCCGGGCATCAGACACGCGGTATAAAGCCAGTTCATACGGGGAGCTGCTTCCTCACTAACCTGGCCATAACCACGGTTATTTAATTGTCTCCCATATGTCATTGTCACCGAGCACACAGGGGATGTGCAGCAAGCAAACTTACGACTTCGCTTGCAGCAGCCACACACCCCAATTAATTTGTTACCTTGCTGGAAGGAAGAGGGGCTCCCCATAGCAGGCAGACATTACCGGCAGTCATGTTTGTCTGTGCAAGCCATTATTTTTCATCATGCAGATATAAATCACTCCTAATTATTTGTTCCTCACCCAGCTACGATCTGTGCCTGCAAATGTCAGTGGCGCTGCTCGTGCCCCCGCCGCCGCAACGTTGCATTGAAGTGGGGCTCCGAGGTCCCCATCTCTCCGACCATCCGGCTGCCACCCTTTGAAGCTGTCTGGACATTAATTAGGGGACGTTTTTTCCCATTAAGCAACAGTCTTCTGGATGGAGAGACTTTAGGGGAAAGGGAGAGACTTTTAGGAGAGACTTGTAGAGACTTATGTGGAGCTATGTGGTACAAATCTGCTAAACCTCACACAGCTGCACTGACTTAGGCTCACAGGAGAGCTGACCCCGCTGTGCCATACTGCATGGCGCTTTCTTTGGAGAACTAAATCTCAGTAAATATCATTTTTTTGCTGTTATTTACTCTGATTAATCATACATGCCACTCAGCCCATCTCAAAGGTTAACACTGGGGCAATTTCCTCTGGTGGCGTATTGTACTCCAAGCTGCATCTCAACATTGCAGAAAAAGAGCAAAAGAGCAGCATTAAATCTTCCTGGTGGTGCAAGAAAAATCAGAGATGTGGTGCTTGCCATCAGCAAGGCAGTCTTGTGTAACCCAAAAAAAAAAAAAGAGGAGTGGCTGTGGCCAGCCAGGAACCTGGGTGAAATCGAACTGATTTACTGAAAGCATCCAGCAGCTGCAAACGATGTCCCTGGAGGGGGGACTTTTTTGGGGGACCAGATCCTGGCCTCGAGGCACAGCTGTGTGCATCTCTGCCGCATCAGGGAGAGAAACGAGGACCTGTAACTCGGGGGCAGAAGGTAGCTCATAAACCAAAAACCTCCTCCTTAGGCAGCAGCTCGGGAATCTGGACCGTGTTTCACAG